AAGCCTCTTTGCAGAGACAAAGTATGGGCAGTTTTGCAACCGCGTGGTTCTCGGCTGACTTCCTTGAATAAGACGCCCTTCAATTTTTAGCGTAAGGATTTTAGAAAAAAGTATTGTCTTATAGTCGGAAAAATGCAGTACGTTTTGCTATTCTCGAATGTCACAGATTTTACAAAATTTCTGTTGAAACAAAGTATAAAACTTACCTGTTTTTTCTAGAGCAGTTATGGAATGGCAACAATAGATGGTCTTCTCATTTGCATGGAGAAAAAATTGAGAGCCTTCAAGATTATCTAAAAAATGTAAAAACTATGCTGAAATCCAAATTCAAAGATGATTCAAATAGAAAGTATTTTAATTATTTAATATATGTATAATACATTTTAGAACAGAACAAACAAATTTAGGCCATGATGAAGGAATTTAAATGGCAACTGTATTTTCCATACTGCTGTGTGCCAAGCTGGCTGATATTAAGAAGTATCTAAGTGCTTCCTTCTGTGGTCTCCATTATTGTCTTATATTTACAGTAAAATAGATACATGTTCCAGAATATATTAATCTTTGTGCGTTCGAAATGTATTACAGTAATCTTTTCCTTTTTTATGAATTCCACAAGTAAGCATACTTTCTGATTTTTGTGCACCCCTTAAGCATAAGTTCTCTTTACCATGGCTCATTTGATCTCCTAGGGCCCTGACAACCTGCCACACTAGATGGAGCAGTTGCACTTCCATCCTTCCTGATTGACACCAGCCAGCCTGCAGTCCTAGACTCTGCCTCAATATATACTGTTTCAGGCAGGCAGCCTCTCAATAAAAAAAATGCCTCCAGAGGACAGGGTGTGAAAAGAAAAAACCGTAGCCTAATACTGCATTTATTGGTTCTGCTTCTTCTGTGCCCTAGATATATCCAGATCCGTGATGATTCACCCTACATCTCAGCATGTGGCAGTGTTTGTCCTTATATGCTCAACTGAAAGCTAGTTGATAGAAATTCTTTTGTGAAGCTATACCAGTATACGCCCATACAAATGCTTCCCCATTTGGGATAGGGGTTGATCTGGCCACACCACAAGATCAAAATGTAAAGAATAATGGGTCGACATAGCTTATGTGCATTGGGCTTCATGCATGTTGATCATTGTGCAAACATCAGGTGAAGAAGAGTAGAAGGGCATGCGACCGGATGGGCTCTGCTCCTAGGAGAACATTAGCATGTAATACGAAGTTCTTTCTTGGAGCAGAGCAAAATCTACTTTGTCTTAGTTTTCTTTATAGAATCCTAACAGTTGGTAAGCACTAGCTGATTCACCTGAAAGCGTCCACTGGTTCATCAGTGGACTACAGTCTAGCTTCTGTTCACCTCTGGTTTAAAGTCTACTCCAAATTTGACTAGGAAGTTTCTCACTAATATTGCTAGCTTACTAAACTTTTTTCTAAAATAGTTTTCAGTGAAATTTATTTGTGATATATTCCACTACTAAGTTGTAACACATTTTTTTTTTTTAAAGTAACACTTGTCCCAAAATGCATTCCAGACAGTACATATTGTTATGAAAAAGCAGAATCATGAGGTATATGTAGAAGTTTAATCTTTTTACTTCAACAAAAACACTTAAATAATCTGCTTGCTTTAGTGGCTAGGTGTATTCTAACCATGCCATTTATAAAATTGAATTGTCTGGCATTTCTTACTCTAAACCAGCAGCAGGTTTTGTCCTGATCCTGCTTAGCTCAATGTATCCAGTGGTTAAGGTTGATGGGAATTATATTATTACAGGGCTTTTCCTGTAACTTGCCCCTAAATCTGGAATGTCCCTTGCCTGGCAGTTGGGTTTGGGGCACTAAGTCTAAGTTTGATCAAGTTGCCTGGACCTTTAATGAATAGTGATTTCAGGGTAGTTGGGCTGATTATTTTCACTTCCTTTTTCTGTTCTGTTTTGATGTTTTATTGGATATATTTTAAAATTGATTGTTTTATAATTATCTGTTTTAACACTTCTTACTGAGCAGCTTTGGAAATGCTTCTTGTATTTAAAAGTAGGATATGAATGAATAAATAGAATCACTGAATTGCAGCGTGTCTACATATGCACTTGGCATGAGTACCACAGTGCATCCATAACGTGGCTCAAACTTTTCCTATATTTTAGTAAGGACTTAGCTTTTTCTTTCAGAATAGATGAAGTACGTTTGGTGTATTCACTCTTTTTACTTGGTTGGTGCTGTTAGGCCTCCTATTACTCTGCCTCTGTAATCTGTGTTGGAAAGTGCTGGATATTTATGATCACTGATTTTAATGAATTAAACGACCTTTGCTGGCAAACAGCTAATATACAGAGATGCAGTGGGAAGCATAACTAAGTAATAATAATAATGGGCAAAGCCTGAATCACTATTTAGTAGAAAACAAAGCTTTCCCACAGGGGATACAGCAGTTTGTGTGCCTCCATGCTGACAATAAGACAACCTTCTTTAAAAGAAAGTGGCTTAGTGCTCTGTTGCATTATTCAACACAGAAACCTTCTGCAGCTAATTCTTGTTTGAGAACATGGTTATCTTTCAAGATACCTCACAGTATAGTCTTACTATTCAATGAGGCAGGCTTCACCTCTAACATGAACTGGAGTTTTGCCTTATCCTTTCTTTCTGGCAAAGCACAAAATGTGGGTGAATCAGCAACCCTCATATTCTTCATAAGGCAAGAATCGTAATTGCAGCCAATATAATATTACACAAATTGTATCTTGAGTAATAAATTACAGCATACTCGCTAGAAAAAATTGATTATCTTCCAAGGAAAATATCAACTCTAACTAATAAAAGTTTTGGTGAAGATCCATTACGGGCATAATAGTTGTGTCCTTTCCAGTATTACCTTTCCTTTTGGCTCCAATTATTAGTATTGTTTCTGTGTTCAATGATCAGGATGGGAAGGAAATGCTTGTTTTCATAATAACTCTCATTTTGGCCGTTACGGCTTGCAGGAAGCTAGTATTTATATCAATAGAAGAGAATATCTGTAGCTCAGGGTTGAACTGTGGAGTTCTTGGTGCTCTCTGAGCTTGGTGGTTTCCTTGCAGACATTTCATTACCCAACTAGGTAACATCATTAGCCCTGATGATGTTACCTAGTTGGATAATGAAATGTCTGCAAGCAAACAACCAAGCTAAGACAGTACCAAGAACTCCACAGTATTTATATCAGCCTTGTATAATGTAATGTAAGGGAATTGCTCTCTTGCATAATTTATTATAGGCTTTTTTTTAACTGATCCCTTCCTGATTCCCCAAATGCTAAATAACTAAATATTTTGCATTGCTTCCTGGAAAATCTTTTAAGTAAATGATTCCAAATACATTGAAACTATTAAGAACTGATTGTGGAGAGAATACAGGGTAATAATATGCTGCAAAGAATATCATTAGTAAGCTGCTGTTAGCCAACATTACTTCAAAGTAGCACTAGAGTAAAGTTGTATAAAAGTTTTGGGAGGCCTGATAGATTGAAAAAAATACCTTGAATTGTTCCTAGAAAGCTTGTCAGGAAGCAGTCTGTAGGAATTTTCAACCAAGGAATCCTTAATGGCTATTCCACAGAATGAACATTGTAACAATCAAGTCCCATGTTTCTGAAAAAGCAGTATTTCCAATGTCAGTCCCTAAAAGGAAAGATCATTTTCTCAGCCAGTAGAATTGATAGTGATAGTTCTGGCAATGATTCAGTTCATCTTACTTGGTTAGCCATCCCAATCAAGTGTACAGGATTTGATATCTTAAATATAAATTATCTAAACATAATCCTTGTTACCTGTCTCAGCACTTGGTGTTTCTGTATAGTATCATGCATTGAAATTTGATTAGGATGTTGCATAATTGTCAGATTTGAAAAATGTTATAATTGGTAACCAAAATGTTATAATTACATGTAATCCCCAGTTTAAGAACGAGTTCCATTCCAAGGTCTATCAAGTCGAATTTGTATGTAAGCCAGAACAGTATTTTTGTATAATGCTGTATAAGTAGAATTGTGTAATGAACTTGAACCATTGTTTATTTAACTCAAACATTGTGTATTTAACTCGAATTTTGCTACAATAGGCTCTTTTCTCAACTATGGGTCATCTGTAACCTGGGTGTTCTTAACTCGGGGACTACCTGTAGTTGAACAAAAATAATAGTTCTTCCTTCAGTGAGGACTTTAAGCAACAAATCCCACAGTAATAAAAGTAACAAATGGGTTTGAAGAGATTTTGGTTGTTTAAAAATATGTAACTTGAGTTCCTTGTTTAAAGTTCAGATTTAGAAGATGATGCTCACAAGATTATTGTAGCACTGAATAGTATCTAGAAGCGTATAGGACATTTCAAAGAAGTGTTTCAGACTTGGTAGTTTCAGACTTGGTTTCCAGGTGGTTGAAACAATTTCAGAAATAAAGTTGGAATAGCTTTTTTCAAGTTAACATAGTGCTAGTAGTTACCTCTCCAATCTCTTTAGTGGTTCTTCATATTATATCTAATAGCTGTGTTCTGGTTTAATTTTCACAGTGATAGTGATGAAGAAAAGAAATCTAGAAGAGGTAAATCACCAAAAAGTGAATTCAAAGATGAGGAGGAAACAGTGACTACAAAACATATCCACATTACACAAGCCACAGAGACCACCACAACCACCAGGCACAAACGCACAGCAAATCCTTCCAAAACCATTGACTTGGGAGCAGCTGCCCATTACACAGGAGACAAAGGAAGTCCAGACCAGAATGCTGCAGCTTACACTCCACAGTCTACAGCCAAGGTAAGAGAATAACCAAAGAGACTACTGTGCATTAGAATTGCTTTTGTTTGAAGTAATACATCTGAAATGTTTTGGCTATATTGGAAGAGTTATTTATTGAAAACAGCAGAACTATTTATGTGTTGAATGATCAGTGGTTATTGGAAGTCAAGGGCATAAGAACCACAACTTAACAGAAGTAGTGCTTATGATTCACAAATGTGAGGTAATTGTCATAGGTTTGACTTAGGTTGGTATCAAGGTTGGTGACATGATTCTTCCTCAGACTGTCTTTTAAGGGTCTAGCCCCTCTGCCCAATTAATTATGCGGGTCCTGCAGGCCTCTCTACGCACTACAAAAATTTAGTCTTGAGCTAGCTAAAATCTCACTAAGGCTACCTGGGCCTACAGGGCCTGGTACAAGCTCTCCCAAGAAGCCACTCCAGTTCAGTCTTTGCCTGGCCTGCCACTGGGACTCACTCTTTACTACAAGACTGCTTCAGTAGTCCTCTTTGGTGGGCCATCTGCTCTCCCCACTGGTCTATTGGTTCAGTGTCCTCCCCCATTGAGCTCTTTTGATCTTAGCTGCCAAATCCAATGATGGGCATCTTCAGAAGCCTTTTGTTACTTGATTGTCTCTTCTCTCTTCTCTTCTCTTCTCTTCTCTTCTCTTCTCTTCTCTTCTCTTCTCTTCTCTTCTCTTCTCTTCTCTTCTCTTCT